TGGTGCACAGTAACTGGTAAAATACTGTATTATTAATATGGTTACAGTGCACAGTAACTGGTAAATATAAAACGTTTTAAATTTGATTTTCTGTCATTACAGCTGCCCCAGTTGTAGAGAAAGCTCTTTCACTGGCACCAGAAGGATCAACTGTTATATACTGTGGAGTAGGTAACAGAGATTTGTAAGTACTATTTTTAGCTATAATGGTTTGGGACTAAAATGGTATGCCCTTATATATTCTGTTCAGACTAGTTATTCATATTTCTGTAAAAATACATATTTGATATGTTTTGTTTGTGTGTATTGTATTTCCAGTTGGAAAGATCAAAGCAATGATTTCAGAAAACATCCTCAATTCAAAGTAACTGGTGTACCAACATTGCTGCAAATAGGCACAGTAAGTTACAATATCAAATTTATAATTATTGAATTGATATTATTGTGAATTTCACTTCTACGCTAATTTGATATAAACGGTGGGGAAAATTATCTCTTGCACTCTGACCAGGATATAAATTTGTAACATACTTTATTATTGTGTCATACAGTCATGAATATTTATGGGATATGATTTTGTCATTTGTTTACTACATGTAGTTGGAAAAGGTTTAAATGTATTTGCCATCTAACAGTTTATAGATACATGTAGTTGTGTCTGTCAATAGTAGGTTTAATTTACAAGTTTGAAATCTGCATATTAATGACTTTATATATGTGTTTGTATTGTTATCTCTATTTATGTAGCTGTTCCTTGAATACTTTAAGAACCACATTTCACAAACCTGATTAGTTCAGGTTGAAATCTGTGCATATTGAATACTTATTTAATTTGCATAAATCAGACAATTTTCTGATATTTCAATAACCATTAGATTTCAATGAAATGTGATACATAAGTGAGCTTGCGCTATTCACAGACATTCTTATATTAAGGTTGAAACTGTACATGATAATTTGCATAAATTGGACATCTCTCTGATTTTTGTCTATTTGTGTTCTTGCAAACTACAGATGTACGATGAAATCTGTTTCTATTGTTTTAATATTTCTGTTAGTACCTTATGAACTTCCATACTGTGGGTCAGATTTCTTTCACAATGTGCATCAAAGCAGAACAAGCATCTTGTTTTAAAGGATAGTATTAATAATTCCTTCTCCACTACCCTCAGCACATGAAAGCTCTTTGTAAACTTTTTGGGTTATTTGGTGGACTTTGGTCACTTGTTTTTTTGATTGCTTGTTTATTTTTTGGTGTTTTTTCCCTGTTAAGTATGTAAATGGCGAAACTTGTGTTACCGCGACTTGTGACCCTCTTGTGACACGAGGGATGATTGTCAGTGCTCTGGCTTCAGTGTGTGATGCAATGATAGACATGTTCATTAATATTCCACCAATTAGTGTTAACTCATCAAAATTGAAATTTGATTTGTCTTTATAAACCGTGCTTTGAACAGTCTTCTACTGTTATTTGACCCACATAAAATGCAAATGCATTCCTCAGTTCTTGGTGAAAGCTTGTTTTTGTGCAATCACAAATGTGAGAAAAATAAACAAGAGACAAGTCTAATTGTATGTCTCTATGTCTGATTATTTGGTTCATGCCATTAGGTTACTAAAAAAAGGTAAACAAATCCTTGATCACCATAAAATTTTTAAAAAAACCTGAGTGTATATAGTGAAATTGTGAAAATGACATATATTATTCTTAATATTATTGTTGCACATCACTAAACTTATATTTAATTTAATTAGTTCCAATTTTGATAATAGTTTTCCATTAATGGTATATTCAATGACTGTAGACTGTACAACAGATAGTGCCGATATAAAAACCATAGACCATATAGAAGATAGTCTATGAGAAAACATACTTAATACATGTATATTATCGGAACGTTAACATATGACTTGCTTAAAAATGGGAATCTTTAAATTTATTCTATTCATATTTTTGACTATCATACAATACAAACTCAAGAGAAAAAAACCCGACTGCACTTTCTTTTCGTTCTTAAGCACAGTTTGAAACTACCACTAAATACAAGGTTTTCACTATTAGTAGTTGATATATAATAGATGTGATCTATCAATTATTTAGTTACTTTCCATTTTATTATTTACATGTGCTCATTTTATATTTATTATATTTTCCTGTCAGCCAAAACGACTGGTGGAAGAACAGTTGATGAAAGAAGATCTCCTACAGATGTTTTTTGAAGAATAGAAATAAACAATTGCCTATAATTAATTTTATTTTAGAAAATTATGTATTTCCATGCCAACTGTACTCATCAGCATACATCTAATTTGTCATATAATCTAAAGGATAACAAGCACAATGATTATTGTAGCAGTGACAATGACATTTCACTGGAACCGCAGTGTTATTTCACTCGGGTCCTTAAGGCAAACACAATGTCATTTCACTTTGGACTTTAAGAAAAGTTTATACCTGGGAATGCTGTTAAAATCATAAAATTTTAGTAGCATATTATACATTTTGTGAATGATGATTGTAAATGTAATTTCAGCACTGACACATGGCATTTGATTTTGTATCTGCTGGTTTCCAATGACATGAACTGGTGTGCTATTAATGTTGCTTTGACATTGGCTTCAGTACCATCAGATTTGTTCATTTCATGGTGACAATGTTTGATAATATATGTTATTTTGAGATTGGTTCATGGTGATTTCATGACAATAAAATATTGCATTATTGGCTTTGTTAGCTCCATGTGAATGCAGCATTATTTGTATAATATGACATGTTTTAAGACAGCCTTTTTAACCAGCATGTGAACATTTAGCTTACGTAACTGCAGGTGAAATCACTTTTGACATAAATACACAGAGAACTGTTGTATGTGATGTAGAACGTGTCTATTACAGTACCTGTACTGTTTACTTGATGATTTCAAACTGTTATATCTGAAGAATTTCAAATGGATAGATATATTCTGGACATCAAATATATTTTAAGAAGTCACTTATATCATAAAGCCCTGATAATTGAAAAATATATTTTATTACCAGAAAGTACCCCAATGCCCCAACATAAAGGCTATAAACAGTAACCCCCCCCCAAATCCCAACATGAAGTCTTTCCAGTAGAAATGTCCCAATCTGTAGTCTAAAAAATGGTCCAGGGGTAGCCACCGTAACTGACCCCCCCCCCCCACCATTTTCCCCAACATGAAGGCTAAAAAACAAGAGGTACTCCCAACATATAAACTAAAAAAACCCAGGGACTCCCAGCATGAAGGTTAAAAAGTACTCCAGAGACTCCCAACATGAAGATTAAAAACCCCAGGGACCCCCAACATGAAGGCTTAAAAGCACCCCAGGGACTCCCAACATGAAGGCTAAAAAGCACCCCAGGGACTCCCAACATGAGGGCTAAAAAGAACCCCAGGGACTCCCAGCATGAAGCCTAAAAAGCACCCCAGGGACTCTCAACATGAAGGCTAAAAAGTACCTCCAGGGACTCCCAAAATGAAGATCAAAAACCCCAGGGACTCTTAGCAAGAAGGCTAAAAAGCACCCTAGGGACTCCCAACATGCAGGCTAAAAAGTACCTCCAGGGACTCCCAACATGAAGGTTAAAAAAAAACCCAGGGACTCCCAACATGAAGGCTAAAAAGCACCCCTGGGACTCCCGACATGAATGCTAAAAAGTACCCCAGCGACTCCCCACATGAAGGCTAAAAAGTACCCCAGCGACTCCCCACATGAAGGCTAAAAAGTACCCCTGGGACTCCCGACATGAAGGCTAAAAAGCACCCCGGGGACTCCCAATATGAAGGCTAAAAAGCACCCCTGGGACTCCCGACATGAAGGCTAAAAAGTACCCCAGCGACTCCCCACATGAAGGCTAAAAAGTACCCCAGGGACTCCCAACAAGAAGGCTAAAAAGCACCCTGGGGACTCATAACAAGAAGCTTTAAAAAGTGACTTCCAGTAGAAACGGCCCAAACTGAACTCTACCCCAGAGTACCTAACATGAAAGCTAAAATGTACCCCCTCCAAGAGTCGCCCCAAAACTGAAGTTTTAAAAAGTGCCAGTGGGCGGACTGAACTCATCTTGAAGTCCACAACAGTGCCCCCCTCCTCCGTGTGAGCCGTCCAATCTGAAGTCTCCCCATAAAGCCACCCAACCATAAATTTAAAGAGTGGTCCCAGAGTTGAACTACTGAACACCGAAGTGGGAGTATTCCAACCATGAATACTGTCGTCGTCGTTAAATAAAAGATTTACTCCATCATAATTAAAATAATTAACCACTATTGAAACACAGGTAATTGAACTTGAACGACGCTTTTGTATTTGCTAACTGAACGCCACGGTGAACGACGGAAAATAACATTGACACTAGAGGGCGCGAATGTATAAGACCATTCTAAACTAGGCAGTTGGCGGGTCGTGGAAGGTGACAACGGTGTTTTTCACATTGACGGTAGTGTATATGTTATTCAAAATAGCTAAAAGGTTGGCTGAAATACTAGCCTGTACGTGTCTCCTACCATAACTCTGATCGCCGAGAAACGCGAGTAGAATACTAGCCCGTTCTCGTCAAACATTAAAAGTCCGTGAAAAGTAATGCATTCGTACGGCCCCAGATGTATCTCCGTCACGGGCGACGGTGGCCCGAAATGGCGTCAAACATTACAAAACATAGTGACAATTGTAATATATTCACATTTTAGGTTTTTAGACTATAATTCTATTCTAATTCAAATGATTACCACAATTTCCGAGGCAGATGTGATACATATAATCCCCGGTGCATACCTATGTGTTGAGTAATCGTGATGTGCTGTGCGTTAGAGCGCCACTACAGGTAGAGAGGTCGCCGTATATGTTTAAATACGGTGAATACTAAATTGTGAGTGTGGTCGGATTGAAATCCCGTATATGGATTACGACTGAAACCCTGCCATTTGTTTTGTCAATTCGGGGTCATACGACTATTTTATTGAAAGAATACAATCGATTGGAGAAAGTGGAAATGTCGACCGTTTACCAGGTGCTCACGGAGTGTAAAGAAGATCTGGTTTCAGCGATTGAGTCACATAAAAACAATCCTAATACGTTCATCTTTTTCACCGGAGCTTTGGGTGAGAGCTGTGAAAGCTGGTGCGAAGACTGCAAAGACGGTATGATACTTTATTATTGAATACATTTAAATAATATTACTGTGCGTGTTCCCTACATTACGAAAATGTTGTATTCAATACACGTTTGCTATATTTGCTATTATGTGCCATACCTTTAAGTAACCCGAGACGAATGACCCCTTTTGAACCCCACCTGTATATAGCCGATAGCATCACCTTTAGATTACAGACAATAACTGAGAAAAACAGACGGCATGACTCGGTATTTGCATTTTCACATGCACGCTAGGCTTGTGCCACAGTGAACCTGTCCACCACAAAATGCGAAATCTCTGTTAAATTTTCACTCATGACAATACGATGACCTTTTGAATGGGTCACTGTGAAATGTCGGCTGTTTGAATAGCTAGCAATATATTGCAATGAAACCGATAAATAAGTATATGTGTCAATTTAGCAACTATATTGAATCACTTAATATCATATTTTAAAAATGTGCACTCAATATCATTCACAATAATCGTGGCATTGACAACGGGGTGGTGCGCCATATGTTGACAACACGTCATCATTACGTCATGCCAGTGCCCACCAAGCAGGAGTCCCATTTAATAAGACCGGGCTGATTTTGAATGACTCGTTGTCATCGATCCTAAATCTTGCATTAATTTCGAAATACAGTCGTATATTGTATAATATAATCACACGTAGCAGGATCGTACCTGCATCTCATTCCCATTCCATGGGCTATTTAAAACTGCGCAAGCGCATTACGGTGACGTACTGCATAATGAAAGGGACAGAACAATCCAGTCGCTATCCGAAAATGAAATATTGTAAAAAAAACAATTTCCATCTTTTTCTTTCTACATTGTTTGTATTTATTTATATAGATGGTTTGCATATTTAATTATTCCTTATCAAATGAAAATCAAATCAAATAAAAAGCTATTTCCGTAGCGTCAAGTTCGTAATGTTGTATTGCTTTGTACCTCGGACGTTATTGATAAACGTGTTTGTAAATTGCGCATACATTACAAACTACGAGTAAAGTGGTGACGTGTGTGTAAATTACACATACTAGTACCTTGCAAACTACGAGTAAAGTGATGACGTGTGTGTAAATTGAACATACATCGCAAACTACGAGTAAAGTGATGACGTGTGTGTAAATTGCGCATACATTGTAAACTACGAGTAAAGTGACGACGTGTGTGTAAATTAAACATGCCTTGCAAACTACGAGTAAATTGATGACGTGTGTGTGAATTGCGCATACCTTGCAAACTACGAGTAAAGTGATGACGTGTGTGTAAATTGCGCATACATTGTAAACTACGAGTAAAGTGACGACGTGTGTGTAAATTAAACATGCTTTGCAAACTACGAGTAACTTGATGACGTGTGTGTGAATTACATATACATTGCAAACTACAAGTAAAGTTACGTAAGGAAAGATACACTCCGGGAAATATCTGACTTACGGGCCAGCTGACAACAATTCAAAGCTTGACAGTCACGTGATAACCGTGTCCTCACGTGATAATAGTGTTTTGAACCTCTTCCTTTATTTATGCAATATTAGACTGTTATGAATGTAAGCATACTGTTTGACACGTATTCAGTCATCAATTCAATTGCCATAGCATTCTAAAATATCGCGTGATTTCTGACTTGAATTGATGATTGTCTGGCAACTGAATAAGTCATTGAACTCTGTGTGTGATTGAAGTCAGGGTAATGGGAACTTGGAACGCATAGTTTGTATTACGTTACTTACACGGAATGTGATGCTGTGTTCATGTTCGTTATATATATAGTATGTGACGTCAGATGAGCAATATGTAACATCTTTTTATTATATGTTGAATATTATTATATGTTTTCGTTATTTTAATCCAATTATTTGAAACAAATGTGCTAAGACATTGAGGTATGGACGAGGATTTATAAACACGATCCGCGCACGTAAAGAAAATAACGAGTGTGCACACGTGCACATTGCATTTGAGTGTACGCACAGTTCAAATCTTGCATACACCAACAATGATGTAAATAACTATAGCGGGATCTCGATTTTAAATGTTTGAATACAATGTTGAACTCACTCTTAAATGAGAATTTGATAAAATGGTTGGAGGGAATATCTGTTTCAGTCCGGATTATACGACCATGGACGGTATATTGGCTCTGCATTCCATCATTTCAAACGAAGGCAACTGTACTACTCGTTCGTTGATTTTTCAATGCCATTCGATATAATAATCACTTGTATAAGCTTATAATGTTATCTTACAGTGTTACTCCACACACAGGCAATGTGTAGTAACATTAGGTCATATGTTGAACACAGAGTGGAGGATCAGTATCATCGGGTGTAGTAAGACAAGACTGTATGCCGAGTCCTCATTTCAGGATTTTTCCTGGGAGAGCTAGAACATTAAACCCTGGAAAAATACATATTAGTAAACAAATTATCTAAAACTGTGACAATATAAATGTGATCGTTAAGCAATCTTTTATGCAGTCGATGTGGTTATTTTTAGTAACTAAGTTGTATTCTTAAAATGGCATATAAAGGAAATTTAACAAAAGTTATAACCTTTTGTAAAGGACAGTACAGTATC